CTCTGATGAGACAACGAAACCCTACCCCAAGCTCCTCCCCTGATCCTATCCTTCAACAATGTACCCCTCTAACCTCGAGTAAGCCGCGAGTAATCGGCCCAACTCCTACTAGACATAGAATTAAGTGAATTTTGTTACAAACAGTGAACAATGAATTATCGGCTCCGTAAAGCTAACGCGATTGAGCCTTCCAAATAAACGAAATGGATAAAAAAAAAAAAAAAAACAATTGCACTTCGGGCAATTTTCAAAAGTGACGTTTTGGAAAATGAAAAAGTCTCAAATTTAACGGATGCATTGAAATATTTCTGATCGATTGGTGTTAAAATAATTGTAGTTGGTTCAGGGGCAGCTGAGTTATTGACGTTCAAAATCTTTCATAATTTTGTTACATGTTCCATTTTTGGTTTTCACAAAGTATACCCCCATATAGAAATCACAGACGTTGTCCTACGTCAAAAAAGCCAAAACGATGGAACAGTGAGATCATTTGTAAGACTTTTCATAAATAATGGGAGAATTCCACCGAGTCCAGGACCTTTCGAGGCTGCAATGTCCCTTGAAAATTCTGGATAAAATGCACAATAATTGTGATCATGATCTTCTACAGGAAATTTCATGTAGATTTCTTGATAAAAAAATGCATTTGCATTTTCAAGATTTTTGAATACCAATTCTTAAAATATTAATGGAGTATGCATGATTTCTTAATACTATATTATACTAGTACTATATTACTGCTAGTGCGAATTTTGATTTTTCTTGTGAATTTTTTAAATTCATTGGTGCTTCTTTTTTCGGTTTTACCGGCGAAAATATTATTTTGAACTGCTGTTTTTTTTTAATTTTCAACTATTTTGTTGTTGCTTTATTGGTTTACATTGGCTATTTCTGAATAAACTATGGAAGTTTTCTCTTCTTATATTCAGCGTTTATTAGGCTGCTGGTACGCTAAAATAAGTGAAATCCTACCCAAATGTTAGATAGTCAGGTTTGCCGTGTGTTAGGGGGGTGCATGCCAAGCGATCAGTGTTTGAGCTTGTAACATTTCTGATTAGAGTGAATGACCAGTAGTGATGAAAGTGCCTGTCACGTACGGTACGATGTGATATTGATTATTTTAAATCAATTCAAGAGCAAATTTTCATTATGTCGTAAGTAACATTCGCACCAATCCGAGAAAAATAAAGTTTTATTTTGATGACCGAAAAGTTATTCCTATTTTCAATTAAACTCGTATAATCTCATAGTGATAGCAATGTTTAACATATATAGCAGGGTTCAAATCATACAAATGCAATTCGCTAGCTTTCATGTTAAAAAATACTGGTTTTTAAGCCAAAAGTTATTATACGTCGTTTGGTGGCCCCTATTGTTACTTAAGTCAAAGTGTATTTACCAGGATATCCGGGAGAATTATCAATTACGTCTCCTTACGTGCAGCCCATTCATTATTTTAGGACCGCCGAAAACACCTTAGCAACAAACAATTCGATTTATTCACTTTAATAATGAGAAAGCGAAACGACGAACGCACACTTTTCACGGGTTTCTCAGCGCTGTTACATAAGTCAAACGGCATCTCCATAGAAATCGGGTGACTTAAGTAACATCGAAAACTATTTTGATCGGAAGGTGATTACGTCAAAAAGCAATTTGACTGGTAAATAAATTTAAAAATGGGATGTGATCCTATATTCGGACAGTTTATAGTGTAATAGCAGGAGCATCGATTGACACTGATAGCTCGACTTTGTTTACCTTTGTTACTTTCGACGTAATGAAAATTTGCTCTTGAATTGTAACTTCTCGATCCTGGTGTAGATTTAAATTTTAAGTGCTGATTATTGATGCAGCCTCCCTTAGCTCAGTCGGTAAAGGCACTGTTATAAAGCAAGACAATGCAGGAGACGTCTGGGTACCGATTCCATACCCGGTCTATGAATTTTTCGCGTTGGAAAATGTCTTGACGTCTCCGGGCATATATTATGATTGTACTTTTTTTTTTTTTTTTCCTTTGGTTTGTTTTTTCCGTCGATCTTGTTTTCCGTGCTGAGCACCAATGCTACCGACGTGCCAGGAAGGCAGCTCCCACACCTGGACCCTACCTATCGACCCATCAACTCATGAACCGGGGACCAACGGCTTTACTTCCCTTCCGAAGGAAGGCGTGATCAGAGATGTTATGCCTCAGAACATCCCGGCGGCGCCGACTGGGATTGAACCCAGGCCTGCTGGGGTGAGAGGTAATCACGCTTACCACTACACCACCGGCGCCGTTATGATTGTACTTGTCAGACAAAATATACTTAATGCAAACATGGTACCGTCTTAGGTAGCTCAAACGAACACAGTTAAGAGCCAGTCTCTATGGGGACGTAATAAATCCAAAAAAGAAGAAGAATCCAGATCTCATGATAGTTGACATTTTCCACGTCTATTCACACCGCAAAATCCATCCACAGCCTATGCCAGACGACCGCCTGCCGGATGGGAAACCTCAGAATGGTGGCCACCCGAAAGCGATGCGATGATTGAATATTGATCACCCTAACTGTTGCCGCCCGCTGATGCGATGGATGACGTTATCGCAGAAATAAGGTTTCCCCCAAATTGCTCACGGTAGGTACGCACATATCGAAGCACAACACGAGTGACATGACGTTTGGCCGTGAACTGAATTTGTAAAATTTGTATCTGAATGGAGCGACAATTTGCTGGTGTCAACTGATATTTCATTTATCACCCATCAACAGGTTTCTCCTATATCAGACCACCCACAAACGTGTGGTGGCACAATTTATTGGTCTTTGGGGTTGCAGTAAACCGTAAACGTTGTCATACGCACAAAAATGGGTCGCACTATGGGAATTCAGGTGGTCAATATGACGAATTTATTGTTTATTGATATTAGTTCTTAGAGCAACCGTAACGGTCGTTGGAATATGAGTGACTATTTTAACTACGCACTGCGCTCTCATTCTTAGCACCGGTCGTTGCTATCTCGGGTATCAAACAAGTTGCCTCATTCCATATCGGTAGTAAACATTTTGACTACGCAACCGTCGTGGACTACTAATCGCTGTATTTTTCGGATTCCAGTGATGACGATCGGAACTTGGTAAGCAGGATGTTATTCCAGACGAAAGTTTTAAAATAATGCAATAATAAGCCGGAAAAAATTGTGCCCACCACCTTCCATGGAGGTTTCCTATTGTGCGTCGTCGTCGTCGTTATTACGGTGAGATGTGATTTATGATGCCAATTCTACTACTGTTTCCTACTCCTTTGAAGAGAATGGAAATGGGGTAAATCCAGCCCAACATGACAGAGATTACTTGTGTGGGTGGGTGTACACAGTTCGCCCATTACTGATATCTATTGTGAAAATTTGTTCGCAATGTGCGTAGTTAAATTCGTTTGATGATGATTGATTTTTTTTTTGTTGAGCTCGTTGATGCATGCAAAGAAACCCCAAATAACACATTCTACCAAACAGCTGGTATTCGGTTAACGGCGAACTGGGAAGCCGGAAAATTATGAAGCGTATTCAAATAATTGCGATTCGATTTTCACAGCCGGATGCAGATTGTTGATCGCATTCGCAAACACACCCTTCTTGGTGAGCTGCTCTCCAGATGGTGTGGGTAGTGTTGGTACATGTGATTGAGGTTATCCGATTGGATTTGGCACTTTGATTTCCTGGAATTTGGACAATTTGCAAAAATGTCTGTTGTTTACACGGGACGGTTATTGGTTGGTTAGGAATTTCAAGTATTCTACTGATTGGGCACCATGGTTTGGAATGTTATTCCTGCCTAATGAACATGGGTAGTGAAGTGATTGATGGTGAAAATGGGTGATTTGATTTATACCAAATAATCACATTCATGATCGGAAAAGAAAAAAATATTGTGCTCAGACGCATTCTGAGATTCGTGTTGTAGTACTTTTATGCAGCTTCTTGCACTGTTGATCCTTGATATTCATAACTTTTTGCGTAGAACATCTTTCAGTATCGTACTGGAGTGCAAATAAAGTACTCCCATGCAAACCAAAAACATCACTTGGGTAGGGGAAATTCTCCAACAGCATTTTTTTGTTTGAAAATCTATTATTTTTTTTAAATTAATATGTACATTCAAAGTGTTTTTATATTACCTCATACGTGAAGTTTGTGATGTTCAGAGTTGGTCGAAAATGCTATCTAACATGAAGCTTTAGTGTTTAATTTATTAGCTAGAGAATGCTCTTAGAAGAGGGTAGGTAGATAGTTCCGTTAGAGTACGGCAGTTTGAAAGTTGAATAGAAGTTGAAAATGTCAGCAAGCCAGTAAGTACACTTTTTTGCCTGTAGATTTGAGGACATATTTCGAATCTCCGCGTACATCATACGGGTTAGGCAAAAAAGTGTGCGTTTGACTTGTGCTGTCGCATTAATGGCCCTTCGCTTATTTTCAACTTCTATTCAATTTTCATACTGCCATACTCTAGCGGAACTATCTACCTACCCTCTTCTAAGACCATTATCTAGCTAATAAATTATCACACTAAAACTTTTTCTTAGATAGCATTTCCAACCAAATATCATGTACATTTTTCAATTTGGTGGGAATTGTTTGAATTTTGAGAAATTAAAACTGTTATTAAAACTACTATTATTTCGAGCAATTTTACCTAGCATCTCACTTTCCGGCAGGTGCATCCACAAGTTTGGTATTTTGTAATCTTAAAATAGAACATATGTGTAGTTCTGTGACTAATCTTTCATGCCAATTGATGATAAGACAACAAAGTTACATAAAGTCAAAGCTGACCATTTTCGATCAAGCACTCAAACTCCAAATACCAAGCGTCCTACAAATTGGCAAGGGTGCAACTAGGTTCCAACATAAACATTATCTGAAGATGGAGGATTATAGTGGAACTGCTTCCGATTATTGAAACATGTATGGAAAATCAAACGTGTTAAACTGAACATATATTACACTTTACGCTTACCTCCTGCTTCCATAAAACCGTGGCAGCACAAGTGATAAAATCCTGAAAAAAAAACACTTCGATTAGAATCCACATGCTTTATAAATTAATGTAATTATAATATGGTCTTCTTTGGATCTGAACAGCTTTTTTCGGGAATTAATCAACCAATTATCAATATACCATTCAGATCCACACTTCCATACGAAATTTCTAGTCAAAATTAACTGCAAAACAAAATTAACTGCAAATGTTGAAGCCAATATTGCCTGGACGGTCTTCAATATCAAAATCATTAAAATAATCTAAAGAGAGATAGAAAGATTAGTAATTTCCATTTAATCCCACTACCTTATTTGCTTATCCTTGATAGATGCGCGTATTTCGTCTACAATGTGCAGACTTCTTCAGTGTCTTGTACTAATACTCGACAGAAGAAAAACATCGCATTTTACCGAATATATATTACCACAGGTACATTTTCACTTAAAAGCTAAGTAAACTTAAATTTAATTTCCTGTAGGAGCAGGTACTCCGCTGTTTACTCGGTGATGTGTCCTAGGTAGTAGCTTGAAAAGCCATGTGTGTCCGTTTCCTTGATCCCTGTTGAGTAAAGTTGAATTACGTTGTTTGTTGATCTCGAGGCTCTCTGCAACATCCAGTTTCCATGGTGTAGATACGGTTTGTAAAATCGTGATGTCCTCCGTCGAGTTGGTGGTCCTCTGTGAAGATGTGTTCTGCAACCTTTGATTTGAAATCATATGTTAGGCCTTTTTCCTCTTGCTTTTTGGCCTTATTAACCTCCGCTATATGTTCTTTAAATCTAGTTGCTAAAGTTCTCTTGGTTTGTCCTACATATAAAGGGTGATACGGTCAAAATTTGGTCAAGGGAAAACGCGTGTAAATCGGTGAAATCGTTTATTTAAAAAATCAAATTAAATTTCTTTTTCAAGTTCAATTAGTATAAAATTCAGGAAAAATATTCAGTTAGGCTTCCGCTTTTCCAAATCCGAATTGCCGGGCCTTACGCTTGACCCCTGCCATCAGATTTTGTACAGCCACCTTGTCCACCTTCTTCGCCACAGAAAGCCAGTTTGCCTTGAACTGCTGCTCGCCCTTAGCAGTTTTTTTGGTCTTCTTTAGGTTCCGCTTGACAATAGCCCAGTATTTCTCAATTGGGCGGAGCTCTGGCGTGTTGGGAGGGTTCTTGTTCTTGGGAACCACCTGCACGTTGTTGGCGGCGTACCACTCCATGGCCTTTTTACCGTAATGGCAAGATGCCAAATCCGGCCAAAACAGTACGGAACAACCGTGTTTCTTCAGGAAAGGCAGCAGACGTTTATTCAAACACTCTTTCACGTAAATTTCTTGGTTGACAGTCCCGGAAGCTATGAAAATGCTGCTTTTCAAGCCACAGGTACAGATGGCTTGCCAAACCAGATATTTCTTTGCGAACTTTGACAGTTTCATGTGCTTGAAAACATCTGCTACCTTTCCCCTTCCTTTTGCCGTATAAAACTCCTGTCCCGGAAGCTGCTTGTAGTCGGCTTTGACGTAGGTTTCGTCGTCCATTACCACGCAGTCAAACTTCGTCAGCATCGTCGTGTACAGCCTCCGGGATCGCGCTTTGGCCGTCGTATTTTGTTTATCATCGCGATTTGGAGTCACTACCTTCTTGTAAGTCGATAGTCCGGCTCGTTTTTTGGCTCGATGCACGGTTGTAGACGATACACCCAGCTTATTTGCGGCATCTTGGAGAGAGAGGTTAGGGTTTCGCTTGAAACTACCGGCAACTCTCTTTGTCGTCTCAGCGGCTTCCGGTTTTCGATTTCCCCCCGATCCAGACCTCCTGGCTGTCGACAAACGTTCCCCAAACACTCTAATTACATTTGTAACGGTTGATTTGGCAACTTTTAGCGATTTTGCCAACTTTGCGTGCGAGTAGCTCGGATTTTTGCGATGCGCGAGCAAAATTTTGATACGCTGCTCTTCTTGCTTGGGCGGCATTTTGACAACTGAAGAGTGAATTCCAAAATCAAAATAGGAGCAACATTCTACACACACACACCTTCAAAATGAGGGGTGTTCAGGTTTTTTAAATGCAAAATTGAAAGAAATCCGTCAAGTTGATATTGACCAAATTTTGACCGTATCACCCTTTACTTTGTTACAATGATTACAGCTTATTTTATATACACCTGCTTTACCTAAAACATTAACTGGGTCTTTAGTGGATCCTAACAATGATTTCAACTGGTTATGTCTACTGGTGAAAACTAAATCTAATCCGAATTGTTTTAACTGTGGTCTTAGTTTACAAGTAATATCTTGATCAAATGGAACGGACACTCGTTTCAATGGTTCAGGTGCTGCGGTGAGGGATGTTAATAATCTCCTTTGTAGAATTCTCACTTTTTTATCAATGACTGCCTGGATTGTGGTCTCCTTGTATTCGTTGAGTCTCGCTGTTTCGAAGATGTACTGTAATTCCTTAACCTTTCCTGTATCGCTGAGTGGAAGACTCTGCATCCAATGAATCATGTGGTGGAAGTACTGTCAAGGATAAGCAAATAAGGTAGTAGAATTCAATGGAAATTACTAATCTTTCTCTCTCTATCTTTCTTTATACAGGTATTCCACTAAGACGCCCACATTCATCAGGATTCATCATGGCAAAAAAGCCGTCGGAGCCAAATAAATTCATCGGATTGAAGAAAACCATCGCATCGCTTCGTAAGGACGTAGCATTTCTGAAGAAATGCCAAACATATAAGGTTATACCTATAAGCTATAGGATTAAGGTACGGACACCCACCCCACCCAGCGTAGTAAAGAGGATGGAAACAGAGTTCATCAAGGATAGCATCAGACGGCTATATAGCAAACTGGACATGAAGGCTTTGGAATGTTATTCTCTACACCTCAAATTGGCAGAAGATTATCCAATTAAATTCCAGGAGTTTCTGTCTAGGGCCAACGTAGCAGAGGAGTGTGAATCGGATAGGAAACGAAAGCTGCACGATAGGAAGCTAAGCAGACTACGACACGAGTCTCAACAGAGACGGACAACACACCGAACGGGTGAGCAGATCCCATCCACCATCACCACGACGCCGAGGGTTCACTCCATTGATGGATTGGTTGTGAACCGATCGACGACCGCATTCACGGAAGAACAATTGACACACCACAACAAGGAACTAAGGTACGCGGTTACAACCAAGCCAGACGTGGAGCAGATCATAATTCACGTAGAAACAGCGATTACCAAGACACTTCCAACATCATCACAGAATACCGTCAGGACTATCACATCGAACATAATCAAGGACGGACAAGAACAAAGTCGCGCCAACGAGAAGGAAATTTGGATTATAAAGGAGCTGAAAAGTAAAGCAGTATACTACGTTAAAGCAGACAAGGGCAACGCGGTCGTTATCATGGACAAAAACGATTACGACAATCAAATGACAACGAAGATTAACAGCGGACCGTATAGACAGCTTCGAGTAGACCCCTTACAGAACATAATGAAACGCGTGGAGAAAGCACTGAAGGAGTGCAAATCAATATTAGAAGATGGAGCAGGCCGTTTACGGGAATCCAATCCCATTCTACCTAGGATCAAAGGTCTCCCCCAAAGTCCACAAACCGGTGAATGAAATGCGAGAGATCATGTCTGCAGTTGGTTCCCCCACCCACAAACTAGCGAAGTGGCTAGTCACAGAGTTCCAGAGTATGCCGAATCAGTTCCAGAGTAAAGCAGTTAGTAACACCCAGGAGTTCGACCAGCAACTACAATCTTCAGGAGACATCAACGAGGACGAGATTATGCTTTCGACGTCACAGCTCTTTTTCCCAGCGTACCGGTCAAGGAAGCGATCAACTATTTGGAGGACTAGCTATTAACACAACGAGAGAATGCAGCTTGGAGAAACAAACTTCGGACGTGACCCGCCTTTGAATGGATGAGAATTACTTCTCTTTCCGAGGTAACTTCTACAAGTAGACGAAAGGAGCCCCAATGGGAAACCCCCTATCCCCCTTTCCTGTGTGAACTTTTCATGAGATCAACAAACAACAGAATCTTTCTCTCTCTCTCTTTATACAGGTATTCACTAAGATGCCCACATTCATCAGGAAAATAATCTAATAGCGAATTCGTTTATTATCGGGGTTAACACCAGTTCCAACCCAGTGCGAAACCAAACTTTTTTTTTTTTTTTTTTGTTAATTACTTTATTTGTACAGGCTCATTCGAATAAACTTTACAGAGCCAAGTTATCATTTTCTTTACACATTATAAATGTCTTAAATCTAAAATTAAAGGATTGGAACCGATTACTCGCGGTCTTCTCGAGGTTAGTGGATGACAATTGTTTGGATCGGGAGAGGGAAAAGGAGATTTGGAATATGATTTATGATTCAAAAATTTCACTATTTCTAAAACAAATACTTAATCCTATCGACGTTATATCAACTCTGTAATTATACAATTATTACAGAAACAAATCTACAAAAAAAAAATACACACACACATACAAAATACAAACTAAACACAAGGTTAATAAAACTTACAATCTAATGTTAATATTCTTAAAGTAAACATATATGAGTTTCATAAACTCCAGATCGCGTCTAGCCAAAATATCCCGAACTGGAACATTAGGTTGTCTACCTCGAGCCCGAAGGGAATCGTACAGTTCAGATCTGACTCCGCGATGCTCAGCACAAGTCCAAATAATGTGATCTGCGTCCTGGTAACCTTGTCCACATTCACAGAGATTGCTGTCCTTCAGCCCAACACGGAACAAGTGAGCGTTTAACGAATAGTGATTGGACATGAGGCGAGACATCATACGAATGAAGTCTCGACCCACATCCAACCCCTTGAACCAAGAACTCTTCGACACCTTAGGGATGATCGAATATAGCCATCGTCCCAAACTCCCTTCACTCCACTTATTCTGCCAGCTGACGAGTGACTGTTGACGATAAATGAAGAAAAATTCATCGTAGGCGATTTGTCGATCGTAAATATCGCCTTCCATTGCGCCCACCTT